TATATATATATGCGTGTATATCAATGTTAAGTAGTAGCATCGGCTTTCTAGGGTCGTGTATTTTATATTATGACCGGCTAAAGAATAAATCTGTAAGACAACAAACCGGAAAGAGTTGAATGTGGTTTTTAAGTTGCAACCTTGCGTTCTTTTATTCATACATTAAATAAGGAATCTGTAGATTTTTATACTTTCACTATATTTTTCTGCTTCGTTTGATTTGAATAAGAATCAAGTCAAATTGAAATTCAATATTAATGTGCCATATTGCACAACTTTGCATGAGATTAACTCGCCACTAAATTAGTGCGAGTGGCCCAAATAGACTACCCTCGTGTAAGACTTCAAATGAGGTGTCAAGTAGAAAATATATGCGAGTTTTATCTACTCGCAGGCATGATAAAATCTAACCGCCTGAATCACAGAAGTCAACTAAGTAATTTTCCTACTAATGTGTTTAAAAAAAAAAGCTTGTTGCCAAACTTGAGGTAAGGAGTCACGCTATGTTTTTTCGTGCACCATCTTTTGTAAAATTCCCAAGTGGCGATCTGTAATACACTAGGGCACGTCTACCCCATTCCTGGCCGCCACGTATATGGTGAACCATTCCTCTCGGGTCAGCTTCACGGCGCAAGCTGCTACACTAGGTGCAATTCGTTCTACCTTCGAAGAGCTGTTGGAATTACAAATATACCATTCTCAGCCAAGGGTAAGAAGGCTATGACTCAGCGGCTGACATTAAGCATTAATTGCCCGTCTTAGAAGGGCGATTGTACAGCCCAACACGCGACAACAACTACACAGCATCGCATCAAAACAGAGTTTCGCAAAGCTGTCCTATGATTCTTTTAAGTGTTGGTGGAGAGCAAAGCATGTGGCGCAAATTTCACAATTAATATTGAGCACAAGCGGCAAACATTGACCAAGGCAGTACGTAGACCATACCCAATTATTGGACAGATTTTGGCGGGGTGTCGCATCAGCCATGCGAGCATGGTAGCGTCGATTGACACGTTTCCGTGCTGAGCAGCTACCGTTTGCAAAGCGTCCCGTATTTTGCTGTTATGTTCATCCTGTGTAGCGATTTTTTTCCAGTTTTGCGCAAGAATGAGTATCGAAAACTCCAGTATGCAAATAAATACATCTCAAGATACGAGGTTTCATGTGTATACAAAAGTAAATGCAGCTAGGCTGACAAAAGAAGGAAAACAAAATCGCCTGCCAAACTACAATTTATATATCATCACCTGGTCGGTAAAGATTGCGCCTCCGCCAAAGGGAGACCAGGCCATGGGTGCTACCGACAGCTGCAGACACTGATCGAGGGTCCCATCTGTGAGCGCGTCAAGGTGCTTCAGACTAATTTCGACCTGTTTCGAAACCAATTGATGACAGGTAAGAAAACACCGATCAGAAATAGGTTTATTCACCTGTTTGCTTCTCGGCTATAAATGCAAACTGCCACGTCTCACTTTAGACTAAATCGATGACAAAGAATACAAGAAGAGATTTTAGCATGCTATAAGTTTGTCGCATGGCTTTCGAGTTGCGCCTGAATACGCAAAAGATGATCTGTTGTAATTGAAAACAGCACTATAGAAGTCGATTTGTGTATCTACATTTCAGGTGCTGGGAAGGAATGAAAAGCTCTTAGAAAAATTAACAGAACTATTAATTTTAAGCTATACACCAGAGTCCATGATGTCACGAAATAGTAGAAATAATATCGTAGACAGAGAAAGAAACCATGCTGAATAAACCTGACATCCACTTTACCTGATTACAAACCAGATGGATGTTGTGCGGAGCCAATGCTGCCTCTAGAGTATCGAATAATCTCGGGCTGAAGTTGGAGACACCGAAGTATCTGACGGGAAGGAGGATATTAGACTCTTGTCAGCTACGTCTGATCATCGAAGGTGGTTCTACGTTTGATATGCTACTGTCAAACGCCGCTCATTTGTTCGAGAGGTAGACATTTACGTAATGATGCGTCACAAAAATTATCGAGATTTCTACAGCTTATGTCTAAAGCAATACCAAACGTACTTCACCTTCCCGCATGATTTGAGCTCGGCAAAAGTCTCGGCCACCTCAGCTGGGTCCATCAATGGGTCGACACGATGGATAAGCAATACATCTAGCGTTGAGATCTTCAGGTCATGTAAAGAGTGCTCGACAGCTGCGTGGTGATCGTATTGCGGATTAGACCAAGAAAGTTGTTCAATATGAATTCATAAACGATCAATTTTGCTTTCCTTGATAGTGTGCGAAATCAAAAGGCATATTTCCACCATAGACAGTGCATTGCCTCAAAATCGCTGTATGAGAATCCTGGACGGACACGACAAATCGAGCTCAAAGCTCGCACTCTCGCATACACTGATATCGGAATTGTGAGAATCTCGTGAGTGTGACACATTTATACGACGAAAATACTGGTTACAAGGCATTTGTGTGCATCTGGTACGCAGAAAGGATATCAAAATTCTGAACTTCACAAAAACAACTATCGCAATCGGTTGCATAATTCACTAAAACCATCTCCACGCAATTTAAAATTTTAATATTGAGGAGACAAGCTGAGACGCACTTTAGTACATAAAAATTGTCATGTCAGCGAAAAAACCATCAGATTCCATAGCCAGACAAGTCATATGCATAGTCCGGGTAAATTGGGACTGATGTCACCATTCAAATGCACTAGCTGCTAGTTTATGAGCCAATGTACATAAGTCAACATGCCTTTCAGGATATACTCTTTGCTCGTGTTGTACATATGCATTTTGTGATTAGGGCGTCTCTCTCCTGTCAGTACAATGTTACACTTCGTCACGATTGTGAACTTTTCCCTTAATCCATCCTTCAAAGCAAAAGCCTTTTTCATCCGTCCCCAAAAGTAAAACAATATTATAAGGATGGGCATTATAAACTATGTATCGTATAATAATGTCAGCTATAACCAATCGCTAATCAAAGAAGCTCGAGAAATAAAATGAGATACATACATGTATACATACATATATATATTTATATGTA